ATGATTTCAACTTTCATGAACTTTTTCTCCAATCAACTATTTAATTATTGGTTTGCCAAAAGCTGACCGTTCTCATCTATCTCATTTTGAATTCAGTAAAATGTTTAAATTCATGAAAAAGATGAGATTTCTTAAGTTGGGCCCAATTTCATTGAAAGTACCATATTTCACATGTTCAAGAAATGTACTTATCCTATTTTCTAGTCATTTGTATGTTAAGTACTTAATTATACAATGCATATAAAACCTTCCCATTACCATGCATACTTTGCATTTGTTCTGAATTGATTGGTGTGGGATAAAAAAAATATGTAACCAAAATCAAAATGAATGGTTATATGAAGAAAAAAAATTTAATTAGTGTATCAAATAATTTACTGTGATAGTTTAAATGTATGTGGATATAAACAGTAGTTTTGTTCACTATTTGCTGCCTACTGGTTTAACAGTAAAACAATCTGTTCAGATTGATCCTTTCAATTTTGTTGAAGTTATCTTTAATTATTTTGCATATCTGTGAGCTAGTCTATGTTCATCTGAAGACAAAATACAAATTTGGTTATCTGAAAAGGCTTAGTTGATGCTTATTTCTGGTTACATTTTCTTTATTTTGTACACATGATTACAATTTATTTTTATGCTAACTTGTTATTTGTTGTTGTTTTTTTAAATAGGTTTAGTTTTTTCCCCACAATATGAAATTGTTTCATAATTGTCTCTAACATTTACATCTACCATTAAATTGTACATTGTTGTAAATTATCAAAAATAATAGTGTGCCTGTTATGTTTTTTTTTATATCAAAACTCTTGTACTTTATTTTTAAACAAGTTAAGTAGTTTCTTAGTTTTTAGAATTTTTCACTTGGTGTTATGCTTGTAAAGTTTTTTTCATTAATAAATTTAATATTCAGTTTTATTTTATGAGAAACATTCACTGTAGCTTCAGATATTTTTGAGTAGCTAATTTTCATTCAGTTTTCAGCAGTGCTCCTTGTTTTATGTTAAATAAGAACTGTACGTTTACAAGTCATTTACTTAACTAAAATGTTCAAAGTACTATATGTTAAGATCAACACTGTATGATTTTTTATACTTGTATAATAAATTTGAGTGTACCTTAAGATTTGAGGTTTAAATTTTAAATTAAAAATTCATTTTAACACTTACATTTGAAAAATGTCAATAGCAGTTATATCAATAGTAGACAAAACTTAATAATAGTGTTTGTTATATTCAGCAGTTAGGGATTTTAAATTGTTTCTGTAAATCCCATTCTGTAAGTTAACATGTACCTGTGTGAGTTTCAAAATTATATTTTTCACTGGTGTTAAATGCTAATTTTTAGTTTATGTGTATTATCTGTTATGCTATTACAAAAGTCACCTTGATGCTGTAGCCAAAATATAATCAAAAGCACTTTTTCATGTGTAACTGAATTTTGTTAGTGAAATATAAAACTACCTATTATTATACAATGGAAATGATGAAACTTTTATTTTTTTTCTTTTAGGCAAAAGTGTTACATGTTGAACCTTGATGTTGTTTATTATTATTATTATTGAGGTCTACCCAAATAATTAAAATTATTTTATTTTCTTTCATTAATTACTATGTATTGACAACATTATGTTCAAATGTTTTGTGCTTTCTGATAGGTATATACGTTATAGTATATGTATATTGTTTAACTTAAGTTACAAAGCTTCATATGTTTACGTAAGTCGTTTTCTTGTTACCATAAACATTATATGTACTCTTGCACTTTTATGAATGTTCAAAAATATTAAACCTAATGCACTTGTATGGACGTATGCTGTTCATAATATACACGTGTTGAGATACTAGTTATGTTGAATGCGCATGTTTGACAAGTTGGAGCCACATGAAGTTTTCTTTAAAAATAAATCTATATTTAAAGATGAAAAATTTGACTGCCGAGCAAATTTCATTCAAATACCCCCCCCCCCGAAAAAAAATTTATCTGGCATTCTACTCATTTTTATTATCTCTACCTGTTTGTTTCCATGAAACAAGTCAAACCTGATCGTCATTTTACTTACCAGACGTATTGTTTTTGACTGTTGGAAGGAATGTATGCCCAAACAGTTTGTCACAATGTGAAGAAGGGGTTATAGCAATAAATATAGGTGGCTAGCTTACCTTGTAACCAGAAAGGATGACAATAGTAAGTTGCCAAGATTAGAAGATACTTGATAGTTTTTTTGTTGTTTTTTTCTTTATAGCACAACACTGGTCGATTTTGACTTTGAGAAACGGCCATGAGGTGTCCAAAATTTGAGTCAACTAGCTTTACAGCGTAAACAATGTGGCGTTTTATCGTACGTGGTCGACTAATTACAAACTGTAAGGCTAGTCGAAACTATATTGATAATATATTAAAACCGAAATTTACACTTTCTGTGTGTTTAAAATTCTTCATCTACATATCGCTCGCCCTATTAGATGAATATTTTGGACGTGTGTGCGTCTTTGAATTATCTGTTGTGACGAATTTTTGATATAGCTTCCTACATAATTGATGTTGAAGTAGTTATCGAAGCATTCTGAAAATTATTACATGATTAGCATGTAAGATATAAAAGGAAGTCTAGGCTACTCAGAATTCCAAACAGTCGAAAATACTTGTATTTTTCTTCAGAATACTCTAAATGTATGTTAATTTTTTCACCGTTTTTTGGTGTGTGTTGGTGTTCGCATGTGGTGAGATTTGGTATCAGAAAAGTAAACACATATTTCTGTTTATTTTCGTGGCGTGTAAAAATATGTTAAACATGGTTGAATGACGCAAATTATTTCGTCTTGAGCAGCGGAGGCCTCAGTATATCTACTTCTGCTTCATCAGGTTACTGAGATACGTCGTCTAGCAACAAGATTGAATTATGGTGAGACTTCGGGTACCGATATGAGTTTCGTTATTTCTGTAACTGTCTTCCTGAATTTATCAGAAATTTACGCTATTGTACCTGTCAAAAATGTAAAAGTCAATAAACTAATTCTTCATGAGAAATGTCTTACGTGAAGTTTGTAATTTTTCAGTTACAACATATATATTGTTTGTTAACTACCCTGTGCTTTCAGTTTAAGGAAACTAGTATGAGGGAAAAAAAATACTGATGAAATAGTCAAACAAGGTTGTAACTTATAATTCTTACGTGTTTTTATATTATTCCTATTTAAATGTTTTAAAAAGTATTTCTTTGTTATTCTGAAATAATTTACGAATAAAAATATGATGGAATAGGCGTCTATCGCAAATTACATTCTGACACAATCTTTTAATTCACCACTGTCTTCAAACATTTAGGATGACCAAACGTACCTGTTACCAGCTTCATGTTTTGGTGTTCATGTTTATCAAAAAATATCGTATTTATTTTCCTCTTTTTTTTTCAGCTTTCCTACCTATCGAGAAAATTATTTATGTAGCATATACACGTTTATTCAGCATATAGGGTCAAAACCTGCAGTTTTCCATCTTGTTATAATGCCATGTTCTTAAACAAGTGGGTGTATGATACAGCTATGTCGAGTGTGTTATTAACATCTCGCACTAATATGGTTAACAGTGCTTATGAAAATAACTAGAATTAGAAAAATATCTGAAGTACATTATAATCTCATTCATTCTACTTTTTTTCTATTCTTAATTTTTAAATAATTCATGCAAAGCGCCAACTCGCTAACGAATGTTGTAACTCAATGCTTTCACCACCTCATTTGCATTTGTGAAGCTCAGCGGTAAGTATGAAGGCTTATAACTCGCTTAAAATCCTGGTTTCGATACCCGGAGTAAGCACGGCACATTTAGCCCATTGTGCAGCTTTGTGCTTAACTATAAACAAGCCCCCCAGTAGCACAGCGGTATGTCTGCGGATTTACAACGCTAGAAACCGGGTTTCGATACCCGTGGTGGGCAGAGCACAGATAGCTTATTGTGCAGCTTTGTGCTTAATTAAAAACAAACAAACAAAAGCATTTGTGAATATTTACCTTACAGAATAATAATAGCAGTTACATTAAATTAATAATAATAAAACAAAATCAAGTGACTCAAACCAGGAGAGAAGATTATTTGGCCAACTATCACTATCTAATATACACAAGATTATATG